AAAACATTGCTTTTCATGGCCGGGGCGGGGATACAGGTCAAGTGAAGGAGGGGCAATGGGTCTTCACTGACGCCGACCCCCGCTTCGGGGTCGGCGGATATTTTACGATAATGTGCTACAACATACTTTCATATATCAGAATATAACCCCAATATAACCCAATGGTCCCTACAGTAGGGTTCAGCGAGTCTTGTCACACCTCTGGGCCGGCGCAAGGCGAGTTAGCACCGCTTCGAGGGCTGCTAGCCAGGGCCCAGCAAGCCTTGAAGGCGCGCGGTTGAGGGTTTAAGGGTTCAGGGTTTAAGGGTTTAAGGGTTGAGGGTGGAGGGTTTAAGGGTTTAGGGTTTAGGGGTTTAAGGGTTTAGGTTTCAAGCGTTTAGGGTTTAGACCCTCCCCTAAGCCCTAAACCCTCAACCCTCAAGTCCATATAAACTTACCACTGCTCAGGGTTCCCAAATTTCCTTAACTTTAAAAGTTCAAAGCCAAACATCCGCCCCCAAACCCTAAGTAATGGTACTAAACTCTTAGCCCTAAGCCCTAAACCCTCAATATTAGACCCTCCCACCCCCAGAAATATTACTGTAGAGATTTTCATTATGATATACCACAATGGGAGTATGTCATCTTAGGGGCGGTGAGGGGTTGAATACTAGGCGGGAGGGATAGGGTTTAGGGTTTAGGGTTTAGTACTCTTGATGTGAACGAGTTTGGGGAACCTCACCTTACAAGGCAGAGTCTAATGGAACATGAACTTTAAACTGCTTCTCTTAGGGCAGCGGTTAGGGCGTTGAGTCTAGGGGCGTTTCTTTGACATCTAAAGTCTGCATGTGATATTTCAGGGAGAGAAGGCTTGACTTTTGTGAGCCATAGCCTAGCCTCCTAATATCCCCCTAAATAACCCCCATGATAGTTTTCTGGATAATCCCTAAAGCCTAAACCCTAAACCCCCTTTTAAGTAGTTCAGATTACAGCTCATTTGCCCATGATCCTGGCAGATGCATTGGTCTCCGCCTCCAAGCTCCTACCCACTGAGCGGCGAGCCTTCTTTGAGGCTGAACAGCAAACACAAGCCTGGCCGCACAACGGGTTCGTCTAGCTTAAACTATTCTATACTTTTATATACTATAGTGAAGTATTTCTATAATATACTATAGTATGTGAGTTTACCAAAACGCACAGCTCAATTTAAACATAATACAGTAGTTTCGATTTTCTTTTCNNATTATCCCTATATAACCCTATATGTAGGCTGCTGCTGTTGCCTGCCAAACCAGCTTGAGCCAGCCTACTGAACAGGCTTGCATGCCTGCGGTGACCGGAAATCATGCGCTCGCGCTCTTTCTCATGCATCACGTGCCGCAGCTGCGCTGTTCTGGAGCTTCTTAAGTGGGACTAAGGAGGAGAAACCTAATAGAGCATGATCTAGCATAGTATATTATGATAGGATATAATATGATATATTATATCCTACCATATTATGTTCTGTTCTTTTATATTCTGTTATAATAACCCTAAACCCTAAACTCTA